GGTGCAAACATCCTGACCCGGCAGCTTGTGGAAGGTGCTGGGTGCCATCTCTGCCTTCACCACCCACCCAAGGCAGGACCTGCCACTGGTCACTGGGGCATTGCAGCAACTTCATTTCAATTTTACTCTGATAGCGCTGATCACAGCACATCAGCTCTTGTTTTTATTGCTTTTGCTCCCCTCTCCGTGAGCTGTTGAGGCTTGTGGTGTCCTGGCAAACAAGCCTTGACTGTAATAATTTCTGGCCTCTCGTGGGAGGTTGTAACTCCAATGCAGTGAAATATAAACTGGCAGAAAATGGAGTGTTTCCTTCTGCCGTTGCAAGCTGCAGCAGGCAGGCTCAAATGGAGATTTCTGTTGGCTTTCCCTCCCCTGCTCTTGTTTTTTCCCCTCTCCGTTGAAGGGCACGGTCATCCTCCTCCAGCCACCAAGAGGCAAATGTGCTGGGCTGACGAAATGGCACATTAGATTTGTGCTTGGCAAAGTCACAACTCCAGGAGCTTCGTAAGGATGTAGCAGTGGGAAACATAAATGTTGTTTGTCTTGTGGTCAAAATGGTGCGTCTTAAGTGCTGCAGTCTGCTTGTGGCAGCCCCATCACTGCTGGGTGAGCCTGTCTGCAGAGGTCCCTGGGAGAGGTGGGGAGAAGCAAGGAGGTCTGCAGGCAGCTGGGACATCTTGAGTTGGATGGAGGACCAGCCTGTATTGGGATTTGAAAACACAGAGTAGACCGTAGTCTACACTGTGGGAAAGAGAGTATTATCTGCAGGATCCATATAGATAGGATCTGGTGGCCCATGCCCAGAGCTGCTCAGAGGTTCTCTCACAATCTGGGATGGATGGCCCACGTCTCAAGAACTTCAGGAACTTCTGCCGAGGAACAAAGTGCACCTTGCAAGGGACAGAGCTTTCTCAGGAGCTGCTCAGACACTGTGGTGTGGGCACCTGTGGGCAGTAGAGATTCCTGCTGGTCTCCCCAAGGTCTTCACCCCTGCTCAATGCATCTTGGGCAGCGTGAACACCGACAGCGTGCCCATTAACCCTAGCCTGTCCTAGTGCCCAGGTGGTTTCTTGCATTGATCAAGCATGATGAGCCTGTACCCAGCCTTGTTTTCTACTCTTCAGGAACAGAATGAGGGAGAGATGGATGTGATGGATGTGGGCAACATGGCTGGGAGGCACAAGGACCTCAGACGTGCGGTGAGGGCCACGTCTGGAGGGGATGTGGTATGACCCTGCAATTGGGGTGGGTCCTCCCAGGGCAAACTGGGGCTGTTTAGCACATGGGGGTTTCTCTTGGGAAGCTGCTTGAACCCCAGCACAATGCTTGTGTTGAGTCCCTGTAGCCTTATGGCTGTTCCTCACCCAGGTTTGAGGCTGGTTTATCTAATCCATTGAGCACACCCAAATCTCTGCCATCACTGTAGTTTCACGCGATGTCATTGTAGGCTGTATTGCACTCCTGTCCCAGCCTCAGAGTTTCATTTCGGTGAATTTCATTGCTGGTACCGCCATCCCCTTACATATTAGCAGATTAGCACAGGTTGAATTTCCCATGTGAGTGCTCCACAGTCTGTCTCATTGTATTTATTTTGTTCAGGCTGCTTTTCCCTGGGCTTGACAGTGTAATTTGTACAGATCTGTGCTGAGTTTTCCAAACCTTCAAATGAGCTTGTTTGTTAGCGTGAAGCCCGAACTATTGATAGTAGAGACATTAAACAACAGAAACATTGAGAAGTGAGCAACACGCCTACCATCCAGGAAGGCTTTCTAACCTCTAGAGGTGCTCCTTGGCAAAAGCTCCATGGTTCAGAGATTTTAATTAGATCTAATCCTCCAGGTGACCAACCAAGCATTAAAAGGCATACCAATTTTTCAGTTGCCTCCCTTGCTGTAGAGTTTTTATTATTTATTTTAGATAGATGTGACAAAGGAACTTGGATATCCCAAACTTAACGTTTTCCTTGAATGGCACTAAAGAGGTTTCTGGCATAGGAGATTCTCCTTTCAGTGCAGTTATACTCAGAAAAGTGCCTGCCTACAAGCTTGCTCTGTACTTACTCTGGTCTCCCTTGCCCAGAGTGAGTTGCATGTGAAATTTGGTCAGGTTTTTGGATCAAAAGTTGTATTTTCTGAGTGTCAAGAGTTGCCAGCTCCTCCTTGGGATCTGGAAATGCAGCTGGGGTTTCTCCCCCTCTCATTCACACTGGTCACGGAGCCCCGGCTCCGTTGAAAATGTGCGTGACAGCATGGCTGATGGTGTGCCAGGCAAAGCCAAACCTCTGTGCCGTGACTTCCCCTAGAAAAGCTCAAAGCAGAAACAAGCACAACCCTACCATACACAGACAAAGGCAGAGACCAAAGCTGTCATCGCTGGAAAAACAAAGCTGGAAAAAACCCTCCTTTTCCCCCTCCTACCTGGTTTGCAGCAGAGCTTGTCACAGCAGGAGGGCTATGTCTGTGCATCTCCTGTAGCGGCTGGGTGGGTTTCGGAGATGCGCAGGGCTGTTATCACGGCCCCAGCGGCTCTGCTCGTGTTGCCTGGCCTCTGCAGGAGAAGGTTTCATGCTGTTGTGGTGAGCACGGCTGTGCTCAGCCATCCCAGCTCAAGCACCAGCTGTGCCCAGCTCACTGCCAAGGGCACCTTCAGTGACCTTGGGACATGTATTGCTTCTCACTGCTGCATTTCCTTGCTGCCTTCTGGGTGTTGCGTCTCTGGACTCCCGAAGGAGTCTTATCACAAGCCCTGGATATATCTGGCTTATACATCCATCTGGACCGAAAGGAGGTGCAGGATTTGTGTACTTCTGTAGGGTAGTTGTTCCTTATCTCTGGCTCTTTTGAGGCGACGGTCACACTTAGCACCTTTCCGCCTGCTGGGGTATGTTAGACGGGTCTTCAGCCAACTCCCGAGTGCTCTGGGAGCTGTTTGTCCTCAGTTCCACCGTTGTACTCTTCCTATCTTTGCCCTGGGAGAAGCTGTTGAGGCTGGATGGGGTGCTGTGATGCTGCGGGGCTGCAGCACTGTCCCTGGGCTGTCCCTGTGCTGGAGGGGCCATGGCTGTCCATGTGAGTGCAGGTATGGCTGGAGATGAGAGCAGTGGTTGTCATCTGGAGGAAAATCACCTTGGGTCCAGGGGTTGCCTGGGAGCAGCTGACGGTTTTGGGACTGATGCTGTTTGCCTGCATTGACTCCTGACTCTCCAAAATCAAAGCCCAGGCCAGGCCACCAGAGATGCCATCGCTGCTCTGCAGGAAGAGGGGGTTGGCCAGGTGGGTCATTTCCCACCATATTGAGGGGGAAAATAACATCCTGTTGCTGCAGGAGGAGACTCTGCTGCACCTGTTGACATGGTGAGGATGGGGGATAAACACATCTTGGTACATGCATCAGGTCCCACCTGGACCCAGGCACTACCAGAAGCTGGTTTGCTCCCAGGGGTGCTGGGGCTACCGCAGTGCCAGCACACGGGGGTCTTCGCATGCACGTGTGGACCATGCTGTGAAAATCTCTTCTGCAGGAGGATCCTGAAGCTCCTGGGTTTGTACTTTCTCCTTCCTGCCCTCTCTGGGCAGGTCGCAGATGTCCCCCTCCTCAGCAGGGTGCCTGCCACAGCAAGCGGGTGACGAAGGAGAAATCAAAGGTGGCTTTCAAGAACCCCCATTTTCCTGCCTTGATGTCAGCCTGGTAATTGCAGTTGGGAACCCGCACACCAGATCTGCCACCTCTGAGCTGTGGATGACTCCTAATGGTGCGAGAAGCAAAGCCTGGATGGAGCAGGGAGGGTTGGAGACATTGCCCGGCACCTTGGTTGACATAGATGAGCTTAGTGTTTTGCTGTATTTCTGGGAGCCATGAGTTTAATTCAAAGCTGCTCCCTGCCCACATCCATTTGTCTTCTGTTTTTGTTTTTTTTATGACCCTGTCTGCCTCTGTCTCTCTTATTTCTTGGATGATGCTTGGCACTGGCTGCTCCAGCAGCTTTCTGGCTGCAGTAAGAGCTGTGTGTTTTGCTGTGGCAGGGATGCGTGACCTTTGTCTGGCCTCAGTGCAACTGCTGCTTCAAAGTCGAGCAAAGGCTGAAGTGCTGGAGCTCTTTCTCGGAGCACGAGACCTGGGATCAGGGATGTAGACAGCCAGTACGTTATGCTCTGACTGTGAAGGCCCTGCCAAAGAAGGGGCCTGTAGCATCTAACCTCTCCGCCACCTTCAAAGATGTACTGGAAGTGGATTTGCAAAGTGTCTGCATGGCTGAGTTGCCCCTGCCCGGGCAGCCAGTACCCAGGGGCAGCATGGACAGCAGGCAAGGTTTGTCTTCGTCTGCCTGTACCCGGGCCAGCTCTTCACATCCAGACCTGAAATTTTAGCCTGGTTCTTGCAGACAGAAGGATGCATTTAGCCATTTATATAGCCCTTGGAGAAAAGCACTTCAAGCAAGAGGTGTGTGGGTGGTGAGACGAGGCATAATTTGTGATTCAGAGGTGCTGGGAACAAGCAGGACCTTCCTCCAGGTGAGCTGGAGGGCTGGTCCTGCAGCACAGAAGCGTTTAAATAAATCAGCATGTTAACAGCAAGAGAGGAGTGGGAGAGAGGGGAAAAATGAGAGCCGAAATAAAAGGCTGTTAAGGAATAAATGGGATGCAAAGCGAGAGGATTAATAGCTGCAAGGGAAACCCAGGGGAAGGCTCCTTGCCAGGGGAGGACATGGGCATGTGATGGGGTGATGTGGACAGCCCAGCGGGCCCTTCCCCATCCGTGTTGCCATTGCTTCAGGCTGCATCAGTCACGTGCTGTGTTTGAGATGGCCTGCATGGCTTTGCACCTTCTCCATAACTGCAAACTGTGGTCGGTGGCAGCTGGAGGGGTTTGCTCTGGGGTTGGGCTGGATTGACACTTGTTCGTGTCCACTGCGGGGTGCTGCCCTAGACAGACCTGGAGTCTGTCCCACCCTGCCATGCCCCACTCTGTTGGTGACCTGCCCTTTGCTTTTTTCCCTGTAGCAACCCCAAAGTCCAGATAGAAGCAATCGAAGGGGGTGCACTGCAGAAGCTCCTGGTTATTCTGGCTACAGAACAACCCCTGGCTGTCAAGAAGAAGGTGAGCAAGTGGGGATGCACCTCTGGGTAAAGCTGCTTTTGTGCTGAACTCAATGCAAGTGCTCCTCAGGACATCACTGCCATCGTGAGAGTGTGGGACCCTGCGCTGGTCCCCATGCTGGGTGGGCTTTGCTCCCCATGGGTGCAGGACCGCCCCCAGCAGCCCCGGCTGGCCGGTGCATGCTGGCCTCCCAGCACTGTTGGTCTTGCCCCCGTTGCCAGCAGCGGCATGAACAGCAGCTCTTCCAGCCCCGTGGGGGACAGGGCTCAGTGCTGCGGCTCCTCTGGGAGGAAAGGCGAGGGTCCCCGTGGCAGGCATAACCATCAGAGTCTAACAAACATGGGAGCTGACATTTGGAAGGAGCTAATTGCTGGAGCCAGCCCCGTGTCCTGTCTTTGGCGGTGGCTTTGGAGCAAGCCGAGCAGCACCGAGAGCCCCCAGCCAAATGTGCAGTGCTGTCTGTCGGGATGGGGGCTTCCTCACTGCCTCCCTCCCTCCCTCCTCGCTGTAATCCCTGGAGCATGAGATCTCATTACCCTTGCTTTAGCGTGTGATGCTCCCTCTGTTTACGGGCCATAAAATTATCTGGCTGCTCCTGAAAACCCAGCCCCATCGTTTAACACGGTGACCTCCTGTGAGAGGGGGTTCGGTGGGGCAAGGGAACCACCAGCTCCTTCATTCATCTTTAATGCACCTGCTGTTATGCAAACAGTGGCACACTGCCCGTGTTTTAATAAGCTCCTACAAACACATTCTCCTTTAGTCCATGGTAAGGGTCCTCCCGCTAGTGAAAGGCACGGGAGAGTTTGGGGAACTCCTTTGCTTTTGGCCACACGTGTAAGGAGGACCCAGCCAGAGAAGTGCACCACAGGATGCTCCATGCTCAGAAACTCCTCGCTGGAGTGCCCATGACTCAAGCCGGAGCTTGTTTTGGGGTGGGGAGGGATGGCTGGGCATGCAGAGGCCCTGACCAGCATCATTTCAACCCCTGGGTGGTTGGGTACAGGGCGATTCTTTCCAGTGAGCCTGAACGCGTCCCAGTGACAGCACCTGCAGAAGAGTGAAAGGGATGAGCTCAGTATCATCCACATTCACGTGTGACCTTACAAGAGTCTCTGAGGGTTGAACCCCCTTTTCCAGGAGGGCAGAGGTTTTTAATTTCCAGTTCCTATGCTGTGTATGGTCTCCCGTCTCCAGGCCAGGATCCCAAGGACAGGTCGGTGCCCCAGCCCCTTCCCACACTGAGCAGCAGCCCACAGCTCCCACTCCAGTGGGTTTTCTGCCCCGGCACTCACTGCAGTGTGCAGCAGCGAGGCCAAAAGTGCATTTCTTCCCTCCCCTGTCCTTTGGCCTATGGTTAAAAAAGGAGACGGAAACATCCTCCAATTCACCAGTGGCAGCTCGGAAGATGGAAAATAGAAACAAGTGGGACTGGGGAAGACATGGCTGTCAGCTCGGATCTGTCCGAGGAGAGCGGGGATGCACAGTCCACCTCGGTGCGCGGAGGAGCCGGCTCTAATCGCTGGCAGGCACCCAGATGAGCACCCCCATCCCCGCTCAGGCAGCAGCTCTGCCCCGGGCAGCGTCAGCCCATCCCCTCTGCAAACCGCGGTTGTCAAAACCAGAGGAGTGTAAGATTCAGTCGGTTGGCCCCTAATTGCCTCCTCGGTGTTAACCCCATGCCGCTCAAGGCAAGTGCGGGAGTGCTGGTGTTTCACTGGCGGTGCATGATGCTGCACTGTGACAGACCCTGTTTTGGGACTGTGTCCTCGGAAACATCATGATCTTGTCCTCCATCCATGTGGGTGTGAGGCAGAGGTGTCCTAATCGTCTTGAGGGGATCAGGCTCCGCTGAGCGGTGCTGGACCCCCCTTTGCCCTGTCCTTAGCCCGTAGCTGGGCTCTGTGCCGAGGACCGGTGGGGGCAAACTGTGAGGAGAAGCGATGGCATTGGGTCTGTTCAGGTGCTGGTCACAGGTCCCTCTGGGTTATCGTTCTAGCAAATGCGGTGACAGTCCGAGTTGGAGTCTGGGTGGAAGTCACCCAAGTTCAGGCAGCCTCACAGCGCCGGGGAGGGTTGGGATCAGGAGAAAAGGGGGCTCTTGGAGATGCTCCTCAGCAAGGAGAGGTTTGAATGCATCTGCCAGGGAGCTCTGCAAAAATGGTTTGGAGCGTTTCTCCCATCCCCGTGGGATGCCATGAAGAGAGACTGCACCAAATGCAGCGACTGTGGCCACTGTGCTGACGGACCTCTCTCCCCACCAGGCTCTCTTCGCGCTGTCCTCCATGCTGAGACACTTCCCCTACGCCCAGCAGCAGTTCCTCAAGCTGGGTGGCCTCCAGGTCCTCAGGAGCCTCTTCAGGCAGAAGGGGATGGAGACCCTCCACATCCGGGTGGTCACGCTCCTCTATGACCTCATCGTGGAGAAGGTGAGGATCCAGGAGGGAGGGGATGGGACCCGGCCAGGCACTCCCCACCTTCACCCCCTCACCGAGCCAAAGGGGCTGTCGAGCATCCTCACGGGACGAGGGTGAGGAGGGGCTGATCCAGCATCTCCGTGCTGTTGGAATGAGTTCCCTCCAGCCCACAGGCCACTGCTGTGGGGGACGAGTGCCCGGGAGAGCCCAGAGCATGCTTAAATCTTTATTTTTTCATTAAATCGCCATCGCCGTTTCCACCTGAGGGTGTTTAAATAACAAAATGGCAAGGACCTGACTAGGGAAAACAGGCACCGGACTGCAGTGAGCTTGGCTGCGGCATCCAGCCGCCGGCTGCCAGCCAAGTGCCCGGGGACCAGCCGCCGCTGCTGTGCCCCTGCCTGCTGGAGAGGCCCTTGCCTGCCTGCACGTCCCTCGCTGGAGCCAAACCCGCAACGTTAAGTGTTTTATTTTCAAATACCTTGGATTACTGCTGTAAATGTCAGTTTAAAACCCGTCTTTCCTTGCCATCGCTCGTTGTTTAGTCTGTGCGTTTCTCTTACTCCAGAGAATGGAAATTAAATCCACTTTCACTCAGTTTATAGCCAATTTGCCCTGCAGATTATTACTGCTGTAATACTTGGGTTTCAGGCACCACAGAGCAATGTCTGTGTTTTAAAACAGTTGTTTTCCAGGAGACTTTGTAAAGGTGCAAATTATTTTAGCAGGTCTGAAATCTTATCAGGTGCTGGCTTTAACACGCAGCAGTCCTGTCTGTCTGCTCGCATGGAAAGGGAGTGTACGCGGGCATTTTACCTGAACCGTTCCTGTTCACTCCTGCTGCACGTTTTACGGCCGCCCCTCCAGCAGCCCCATCTGTTCCCAGCTCCGCTGTGGCTGGGGGCAGTCTGCAGGCTCGGCAAATTCTCAGGTTTATGTTAAAACAATGATTTTTTGCTGCCTTTCGGACTGGGAATGCCGTCTATCAATTCCAGCCGCTTCACGGAGGAGACGGGAGAGCCCTCGGTGCCTGGTGGGGAGGAGGGCTGTCTGAGTGGTGGTCGCAGATTTGGGGTGGGCTGGGCAACAGTCAGATTGGTTTGAAAATCGTAAACTGCCATCGGCAGCTCTCTGCGCTGAAGCACAAATTGCCAGGGCTCTGAACGGCTTTTTCTGCTGCCTTCTTTCCTTTTCACCCCAAATCCTGCCTGACCAGTGGGGATTTAGCAGGCAGCCTTCTCAGGGGACTGGGAGTGGGGACATCTCCTCGGTGTTGTCCCTCCTTGTCCACACTGTGTCCTGTAAATCAGTACAACCAAGCTCCCTGCAGCAGCCGCCCAGGGGACGACAGCAGTCTATTGCCAAGCTGATGAAGATGTCAGAGAAAATGTTATGGGTGCCCTCAGGGACCCAAGCGGCCCCCGGGGACAGGATTTCTGCTCACCAGCCTCGCAGAAGCCCTCACCTGCCTTCAGCAGTCCGGGGCGAGCAGCGAGCAGCTCTGTGTTACACAGAACTAATTAGTGAAGCACAGACAGAATAATTATCACAGGGGCCACCAACCAAACTGGGAGGATCCACTGGGGGAGTGGAGCCTGTTTAGGGAATTTCACGCTATCAATAGCCACTCCACCACCCAAGCCCCAGAGGGTGTCAGGGTGGTGGTGGGAGGTTTTCCTTCCTCCTCCTGGCCCTGGTGCTGCTCAGGGCAGGTCTGTCGCTGGGAAGGGAGCCGGCAGCCCTGCCTGCCCCGGTCCCTGCGGGCACCGTTCTGCTCTCGGCACCATCCCTGCAGAATTTCAGTATTTGGGGTTTTCTGGACCAGGCTGGGAGGGGAAGGTCTGGCTGTGGCTGAAGGAGACTGAGATCTCCATCTTTTTTGCAAGAGCAGCATGAAGCCAGGCGGTGGTTTGTTAGGTGCTGAAGGAGCCTGTCCAGCAGCCCAAAGCAGCAGACCCAGAGTCTTTACAGGTCTTCTGCTGAACGTCTTTCCCCTTGAGTCCCCTTTCAGGGCCATGTGGTACTGAAACCCCTGGTCACTGAGAGTTTTCCAGGGTGGGCAACCAGCTTCATGCATGGGCAACAGGGAACCGGGACACAACCTCGTCTTGGTTTTCTGTTGCAAGTCATTTTCCAAGGCAGGTGGTAGGGGGTGTGCGTTCTCCTCTCCCATGATGTGTCACCTCCTGGGAGCAGTTGCTTTCTGACAGGGATATTAATCTGTGTTCCACCACTTCCGACAGATGCTGCTTGAGGACTCGCAGCACGGAGATCAAATGGAAGAGAAAATCCAGCAGTACCGGCAAGTCAAGCTGGTCCCGGCGGTGGTGGAGCAGGACTGGTGCGTGGTTGTTTCCAACCTGCTGGCCATGCCGGAGCACGACACACGGGAGAAGGTCCTTAAGATGGTCAGCGTGCTGATGGCCTTCTGCAAGGAGCGCTACCGGGGGGACCAGGCCCTCAGCACCACCCTCGGCCTCCTGCGCAGCGAGTACGAGGAGCTGGCAGCAGAGGAGCAGAGGGAAGGTGACAAAGAGGGCTATTTCAAGGAACTCCTTGGCTCTGTAAATACCATCATTCAGGAATTAAGATGAAAATAGCTGTAGATTCAGTTCAATTCCAGATAATTCAGGGCAACAGCGTGAATTTTGATGGCACCAGTGTAAATGCACTTTTGAATAAACTGCTGGACTAAATGAGATCCCACCACTGGGCAAATGTGCCAACAGCTTCATTATTAAAACATACGTGTTTGGGGGCATGGCTTTTTTTGCATGGGGTACTGCTGGAAAAATAGAGGTATATACTTTAGAGGGAATGAGGTAGACTCTCAGCTTACGTTGCCTCCAACCATGGTACATTATGAGTGTTCTCAGTGTGTCTGCAGGCTTATTTGGGGTGGGCAGGACTGAGGGATGTGGGACTGTCCTTGTTAGGCAGTTCTGCTGCACAAAGGGAAGCGTTTGTTCCCACAGCTCTGATCTGCCTTTATTCTTGCCTGGCAATGACCTGCGGTGTCTGTGATCTTTTATTTGCTTCTGTAGGATGCATCTCAGCACTCAGACAGCACCGTTTGCCTTTGGATTATTTTGCGCTTGTATGGGAGGATGGAGCGTCATTTCCTTGAAACGTTGGTTGGAGGGGCTTCCTGCAGGTCTCTAATCCAGCCTTCGCTCGGAGCAGGACTATCCCTCGGTCAAGTCAGTGTGGCCGTGAGCAGCTCGAAGAAGCCCAGCTCCACCACCCCCTCTGTGTAGGTCACGTAGCTCCACTGTGGCAGCTCTCCTGCAGCCCCTCTCTGCTTGGAGGCCAGCCACGTCCTCCTGGGCTGGGTGTCAAAACATCTATCTAAGCCATGGAACTGCTCCTGCCATCATAGGGGCAAACCAGCTGGTGAAGCAAGGCACGCTTTGCCCTACAACAAACCATTGAGTTTTTCTGCTTTTCTGTCTTGGGAGGTGGCTTCCAAGATGATCTCCAGGGAGTGAGGCTGGCCAGCCAAGGAGTTTTTGTCCATGATGTACAGCACGTTCTCCTTGCTGAGCTGGGCTGGGGCCTCTCCCTTCACACACCTCTTCCCATTGCAGCTTCTCCTCTCTCTCCTCTAGGCTCAGGTCCCCTTCCCCCATGAACCTCTTCTGAGGTCCTCCTCATGCCAGATGGTCCGTTGGGAAAGATGTTCTGCCCTCTCCTTGTCGGGCTGATTCTCTCTCCCCACATCGTCCTTCCACAGGTGAGGAAGAAACCAAAGTCTTGCTCAAGGCTCTGGCTACCCAGCCCCTGGCCTGGAGATGACTGCCACCTCCTGCCATCAGCAAAGAAGATTATAAAAAATAACTTTATTCATTATTTTGCCTGTTTCATTAATTACCCCCTCCTTGTTCCGAACCCTTTTTGGGGAGGATTTGAGGGGTTTTTAAATAAAGAAATCAATTCTGTTTCCCACGAGTCCCCCTGTGAGAAACATGCCGAGTGGGACGCTGCAGTGAGCCCAGCGAGCTCCACGGTGCTGCCCCGTGCTGGGGCTGTCCCCTCGGCAAGGACAGGCTCACCCGGGCCAGCGCTGGGGCTTTGGCATCATGGAGAAGTGGGCATTAAAGGCTCAGTGGTGGCCACTGATTTGAGAGCAGAGGAGAGGAAGGAGAGGAAGAGAAGAGCTCCACCATGCTGTCCTCTCCTGGTGCTGTGGCGGGGGACACAGACAACATTTTCACACCAGGCTTTTATCTTCTCTTGGCTGACACAGCTGGGGTGACCGGAGCCCTGCGTGGGGACTGTCCCCAGTGGTGCTGTTCTGCTGCGGGGGGGGGAAGCCCCCACGCTCTGGGTCCTCGGGGCAGCCGGCAGCAGAGGTCAACCCCACCAGGAGTTGGGGTCTGCAGAAACAGAGCAAGCAGCGTGGTGGTTTGGGGGGGACGTGCTCGTCTCGCTCCCACCCTGCAGCTGCTGTTTTCCTACAGTGGGACGCTGGCACAGGGCTGAAATTCGGCGGCGGCCAGGTCCCGGCCACCGGCTTGGGCGGCTTCCAGCAGGTTCCCTGCAGACCCCTCTTCGAGGGCGGCTTTGGCAGGGGTGGCAGCGGCTTTTTCTCCACAGGCTTTGCCCAGCAGCGCGACGGGAGGCGAAGGCAGAGCGAGCGCCGGGCTGCAGAGCTTTCGGGCACAGAGCGATGCTGCGGCCGCCCCTGCACCGGCCGGCGTGGGCTGCTGGTGGAGCACGCTGAGCGTGCCCTGCTCCCGGCGCGGCGAGGAGGTGATTAGTTATAATTCCTGTATTCACTTTCAGAATTGCTTTCTGGCAATAACAGGTATTTCAATCACTGCTACTCCTGCCGCTGGCTTAATGGGACCTGGGGGCTGCAGCACCAATGTTACCAACACAAGTGCAGAAAAATAAATTAAGAAAAAAAAAAAAAAAAAAAAAACAAAAACCCCCCAGCTGGTCCCCACCATCCCCTCAGCCCCAAGCTGGGGGCCAACGCAGCCTCACAGGGCTTTGCCACCGCCGGTGGCGTGCCCACGCAGCAAACACCACCGGGACTTTGCGAGGGGCTGCGTGATTTATGCCCCCCCCGCCGCTGCTAAAACCCAGACAGGCACCTCCCTGCAGCCAGCGCAGCCCTGCAGGCAATCGATCAGACTATTTCAAGGCTATTAGTCCTTCTTGATGCTAAAATATTTCTGGCTACTGTTTACAGCGTGTCAGTTGTCGCTGTTAAGTAGCGGGGCTAATTATAAATACCGATTTATTTTTTTTCTTGTCCTTCTCAGATTTCGATTCAGGCTGTTTTGCTGGGATTAAAAATGGTTTTTTGGTGTGTTTTTTTTTTTTTTTTCTCCCTCTGAAATGCATTTCCCAGCCAGGCCTGCCAGGGTTTTGCTTTGTAGGTTTTAAAAAAAAAAAAAAAAAAAAAAAAAAAAAAAAAAAAAACTTATTC